CTTATCAGGATTTAAATAACAAATTAAAAAGGTATCAACACTACTACTGTCAATCTGTCAATCGTGAACTTCAAAATGAAGTATCTCGACAACTGTTGCAGTTTGCCATGAAATGTCGTATAGACATTCAGTGTCCTAGAAGATGAATCCTAATGACTTTGGTGATCCCCTGACTTTTCCCTCCACCATGAGGTTGACATTTACAGTTATGAATTAATTGTCTTAACAACTATAGGATGGATTGCCATGAAATATCCCTCAGACATTCATGTCCCACTCTGTATGAATTATCACTTTGATGATATTTTAACCTTTCACCTAGCAGTGGTGAGGTTGCTATTAAGGGAGAGAGGGTAGAGATGGTGGACACCTATAAGTTCCTGGGGGTCACACTCAACAAAAAACTGGACTGGACGCACCATACTGAGACCCTCTACAGGAAAAGACAGAGCAGGCTATTATTTCTGAAGAGGCTCAGTTCCTTCAACGTGTGCACTCAGCTACTACGGATTTTCTACCAGTCTAGTGGCCAGTGTCATATTCCTTGCTGTGGTGTGCTGGGAGGAGGCATCAGGACTTATGGTGCCAACAAGCTGAGCAAGCTGGTGAGGAAGGCTAGCTTGGTGGTGGGAACAGAGCTGTACAGTGTGGAGGCTGTGACTGAGAAGAGGATGAGAGGGAAGCTGAAAGCCATCATGGACAACCCCTATTATCCTGAGGCAGCTCGAGCACTTTCAGCCACAGACTGATCCAGCCCTGAGCCTCAGAGCAGTTTGGAGGACCGTTTGCACCATCTGCCATCACACTCCACAACACCACAAATTTCACGGGGGTGGCTCAGGCTATAGCCAATTCATTTTAAAACATGTTATTGCTGTGGTTAATAAGATCTCTTGCCTCTATGCCTGAGGGAGAATACATTTCTTATATATACATTTTAAATCATTAGTGGCATCCTACCAATGATATTTTACCAGGCATCAATTTATGTCTTGCATAAAAAAGGCAAGAACTAATTTGGAAGAACCAATAAGTAGGCTAAATGGAAACACAACATTTTTTGCACAAATAATGGCCATGATGTGCTCCTAAAATGATTCATGATGATCAGAGGATTTATAAAAAAATAGACAAATGCCTCACAGTATTTCCCAGATTTTTTAAATATTATATATTCACCAAATTCAAACTCCCATTCTAAAATAGGTATATCCTTAGATGCAAAAAAAGGGCTCCACATTTATTTCATGGATCAAGTTTCTTTATGCTTCTCAAATAAGCTTATGTCTGATTACCAAAATGTAACATGTTCTACTAGACAGAGCTGCCAACCATCTCCGCTGCTTTTTGCATTAGAGATTAGAGAAACTCGGGCAATCTCTTTTCGAACCTGACTGGGCCACAGTGGGATTTTTAGAGATGGTGGTGAGCCCAAAGTCTTTTTGTATACGGATGATTTATTATTATATATTTACAACCCCCCTCTTGTAAATACATTTTTGTGATTACTTGTACTTCAAGTAAATTTGGACGAATATCAGGATATACACTGATCAGCCATAACATTATGCGCCTTGTCACCAGGACCCAAGTAACAGACTATTTCTTGTATAACACAGGGAGTCCACTGTTGCATATGCTTACTGTACTAGCTGCAGCCACTAGCTAGTTAGAGGTCCTATTCGCTGACTCAACCCAGACTGGGAGCTCAAAGGGGAGTTTAAACACTACTAACGTAGAAGCGGGGAGCCAGCAGCATCTTACAGCCTTGATGGAGGCCAGCTGCTCCAACGTGAACTATTATGGGGATGAAGACATGGCAGGTTCAGGCAGGGACAGGAGAGGAAGAGGAGCGACTTTGTAGCTAGTCAATTTGTAAGTAACTTTTAACATTTTACATCATCCATTGTATCCATAAGTCCGCCAGTATTTGTTTAAGTGTTTAAGTTTATTTCGTGTTTTGAACAACAAGACTTGTGTGATGTTATACTATGTTGAAATAAATGAACTCAATGTTCATTTTCCTTGATGGTTGTTCTGACACATTCAGAATCATTACTGCTTTTTCTGTTAAAATTGAATAGGCAGCTGTTAAAATATATATATTTTAACAAAATATAATTGCTCGCTCAGGAATGAGGCACAAACATAACACTATAGTTAAAGGAGACAAATTATGCTACTTTTCAGGTTCATAATTGTATTTTGTGGCTCTACTAGAATAGGGTTAGATGTTTTAATGTTCAATTATTTATTATTTTGTAATACTGCCTATAGCTAAAGCACCTCTTTTCAGCCTCTCTGTTTGAGCTCCTGTCTCTATAAGGCCCCCTTTCCAAAAAGTCCAGCCTGCTCTTATTGGTCAGCATTATAACACGGCCACAGCTTCCGCCTCAGCATTGCCGGTGTTTGGCAGGAGGCTCCTCACTGTTACTGAGTTTAGCTGCATTTCTACCGTGAATATTAATTCAATAACTGCTTCTAACCCAAAACCGGACATGTTAGAGCGGGACCCTGACCCCAAATCGCAGAGAAATTAATGATATCAACAATCAGGATTACAGTTTTCTGTGACGTTTTTCTCAGGTAAACATTGCTAAAGCTATTAATCTCTCTTTATCACATAATGTTGGGTTAGTGTTTATACATTAACTATCAATATCAACACTGTTTTATGCTTGTCTTTACAGGTACAGTAGTGAGCAGTGACCTACGACCTACAGTCTACAGAGCCCAGTGAAGTAAAAAATATTTGTAGAGGTAACGTGTTAGCATGTGCATGTAGCATAGTATACAATGTAAACAGTAATTACTCAGATGGGGGGATATTATCATATGAAACAGATGACGTGAAACATTAGTCAAGCAATTGTTTCCAGTGAAGAAACAGCCAGTAAATGTACCATAGTAATCACAGTAATAGTATAATGATTACTGTAACCTCCCATCTGTTATATTCTTTGTACACATTAGTTTACTGAGACCATGGACCAGGTTTACAACCCTTCTACATGCAGGAAATCTTCATAAAACCTCTGTGAAATAACATGTTATTTATATAAAAGCCACACTTATTACTGAATTTAAAAATGACCAAAACTCTCCATACAAATAAAACACTTTATTCATGTTTCATTCATATTCCAGTTACACAGAAATATAAATTGTGTGTATGGTGCTAGTAACAAATGTATAACTTTTAGGTAAACTGTGCAGATCGTGTCCTCCATCAAGGTATAGAGTTTCTTGTATATTGAAGTGTGAACTGGTAATGGAGCTCTGCGGTCAGTGTTCATCTTGATGCGTCTTCCTTTGGATACTCAGATTTTCCTGATGCTGCAGCCGTCACTTTCCTCTGATGGGTCCAACACCTGAGCTTCATCAGGTCACTCAGATCACCTGTAAAACATGGCAGCTTCAGTGTTACTTGTAAGACAGCATATAATACAGTATAATATAATACAGTACAAGTACAACTAACTACTAAAGGGTGCAACAGCTCATTGTGGCTCAAAGTAGTCCTAAGTTATAAACTAAAATAATAAAGCAGTGTCTCTGGTGGGTCCCTTGTTGCAGCTAACTGTAGTGATGTCTTTATGAAGGAAACATGAAGGTTACCAACTTTATCTCAAATGTATAGCTAATGGCAGCAGATACACATAGTGCTATAATGGTAACAGGTAATTATTGATGAAGAAACGGATTACACAATGTGTTGTGACGAACCAAAAGCTCATAAATATAGCATAATTTCCCGGTGCAAAACCAGACATTTAGCAGTGAGCCTCTGTGTTGTTTATAAAACCATAGGAGATGATATGACAAGGAGATGTTACATTAGACCTGCAGTTATATCGTCTATAATACGAGTACTGCAGTAACGCTAAATACTGTTGCAAGTAAAAGTATGTGAACCCTTTGGAATCACCTGGATTTCAGCATAATTTGGTCATAAAATGTGTTCTGATCTTCATCTAAGTCACAACAATAGACAAACACAGTCTGCTTAAACTAATACCAAACAAACAATTAAAGCTGCACGCAGCGTTGGGCAGGACCTCGCACTCCACGCAACTCGGGGCATGCTGCGGTTGCGTTTTATGGCGAAAAAAACGTACAACGTTTGACGTACAGTCACAAATAGCAAAATTTTTCATCTACAGTTTGTATGACCACAGAATTCAAAATGGCCAACTTTGACGGCATGCCACAGACACAACCTTTAATGTACATGCACAAATAGCACAACTTTTAATCAGCACCATTTTATGACTGTACTGACCAATTTTGAAGTAGATCCGATAAATTCCCTAGGAGGGGTTCGTTCGAAAATCAAAATCAAAATGGCTGACTTCCCGTGGGGTTTGGGGTATGGGTCCAAGAGGCTTTTTTGTATGTCTTGGCACGTTACACGTGTGTACCGATTTCCGTACATATCGGTGAAACGTGGCACCAGGGCTGCCTTTTTAAAATCCTGTAGGGGGCGTTACAAACACGACAAACGATTATTGGTATGTGAGCTACAGGCACCAGTCTACACGTGCCCACTGAATTTCATATTCATAACTATTACGGTCTCCGCACAGTAATTTACCATGCCACCAGAGCACCACCTAGTGGCGGATTGTTAACACATTTTTTAGTGAGCCTCAGGGAGCCATGGGCAATCATCGTACCAAGTTTAGTTTTAATCACACCTGCTGATGCGGAGATATAAACTTCTTCATTTTAAAGAGCGCCACCTAGTGGTGATGGCCTGAAATTGTGCATGATGAGCGGTCGCTGGCTCGGTCCCTAATTATATGTTTTCATGTTTTTATTGAACACACCATGTAAACATTCACAGTTCAGGGTGGAAAAAGTATGTGAACCCCTAGGCTAATGACTTCTCCAAGAGCTTATTGGAGTCAGGAGTCAGCCAACCTGGAGTCCAATCAACTGGCACTTCTTTACAGGATATGATCAGTCTTTCTCTATTGTCAGGATTTCAATTCAATTCAATTCAATTCAATTTTATTTGTATAGCGCCAATTCATAACAGAAGTTATCTCAGGACACTTTTCAAATAGAGCAGGTCTAGACCGAACTCTTTAAAACATTAATTACAGAGACCCAACAGTACCACCATGAGCAAGCACTTGGCGACAAGGGCAAGGAAAAACTGCCTGTTAAAAGGCAGAAACCTAGGACAGATCCTCCGGCTCTAGGTGGGTGGTCGTCTGTCTTGACCAGTTGGGGTGAGAGAGAGAGAGAGAGAGAGAGAGAGAGAGAGAGAGAGAGAGAGAGAGAGAGAGAGAGAGAGAGGCAGAGAGAGAGAGAGCACAGCAACAACAGTATTGGCAATGGCAATCTAGCAGGACCATGGCAGGAGGCTCCACCAGGATCGACAAGAACCTGCGAGACGAGAAAGCACAAGAACTCCGGGGAAGAAGTGAAGTTAGTAACATGCATTAATGGGACATGAATGAGTGCAGAAAGAGAGAGGAAGGGAGGAGCTCAGTGCACCATGGGAAATCCCCCGATAGTCTAGGCCTATAGCAGCATAACTAAGGGATGGTTCAGGACTCACCTGATCCAGCCCTAACTATAAGCTTTATCAAAGAGGAATGTCTTAAGCCTACTCTTGAGTGTGGTGAGGGTGTCTGCCTCCCGAACCACAAATGGAAGCTGGTTCCACAAGAGAGGAGCTTGGTAACTGAAGGCTCTGGCTCCTGTTCTACTTTTAGAGACTATAGGAACCACAAGTAGCCCAGCATTCAGAGAACGTAGTGTTCTAGAGGGGTAATAGGGTACTATGAGCTCTTTAAGATATGAAGGGGCCTGACCATGAAGAGCTTTATAGGTGAGGAGGAGGATTTTAAATTCTATTCTACATTTTACAGGGAGCCAATGCAGAGAAGCTAGTACAGGAGAGATGTGATCTCTTTTTCTAGTTCCTGTCAGTACTCGTGCTGCAGCGTTCTGAATTAATTGGAGCGTTTTAATGGACTTATTGGGGTAACCTGATAATAAAGAGTTGCAGTAATCCAGCCTTGAAGTAACAAATGCATGGATTAGTTTTTCTGCATCTGTCTGTGATAGGATGTGTCTAATTTTTCTAATATTATGTAAATGAAAGAAGGCAGTCCTAGAGGTCTGCTTTATGTGGGAGTTAAATGACAAATCCTGATCAAAGATAACTCCAAGATTCCTGACAGTGGTGCTAGAGGCCAAGTTAATGCCATCTAGAGTAACTATATCTTTAGACAGTGAGTCTCTAAGGTTTTTGGGGCCAAGAACAAGGATTTCGTTTTTTTCTGAGTTTAACATCAGAAAATTGCAGGTCATCCAGGATTTTATGTCCTTAAGACATGTTTGTAATTTAGATAATTGATTAATTTCATTGGGCTTGATTGATAGATATAACTGCGTATCATCTGCATAACAGTGAAAGTTAATGGAGTGATTCCTAATAATGTTGCCTAAAGGGAGCATATATAAAGTAAATAGTATTGGTCCAAGTACAGAACCTTGTGGAACTCCATGACTAACTGTAGTATTTATTGAAGATTCATCGTTAACATGTACAAACTGCGAGCGATCTGATCAATATGACTTAAACCAGCTTAGTGCGGTTCCTTTAATGCCAATTTGATGCTCAAGTCTCTCTAAAAGAATATTATGGTCAATGGTGTCAAATGCAGCACTAAGATCTAATAATACAAGTACAGAGACAAGTCCATTGTCAGAAGCAGTCAGAAGGTCATTATTAACTTTAACCAGAGCTGTCTCTGTGCCTTAGATGAACTCTAAATCCTGACTGAAAATCCTCAAATAAACTATTGTTATGTAGAAATTCACACAACTCTTTGGCGACTACTTTCTCCAGAATCTTAGAGAGGAAGGGGAGGTTAGAAATCGGTCTATAGTTGGCTAAAACCCCTGGGTCAAGAGTGGGCTTTTTAAGAAGGGGTTTAATTACAGCTACTTTAAAGGACTGTGGTACATATCCTGATACCACAGTGCTTTAAAGTAGCTGTAATTAAACCCCTTCTTAAAAAGCCCACTCTCTTGCCACCAGACATCCTGGAAATGTTTGATTGAAGTTATTGCTGCCAAAAGGAGGGTCAACCAGTTATCAAATCCAAGGATTCAATACTTTTTCCACCCTGCACTGTGAATGTTTACATGGTGTGTTCAATAAAAACATGAAAACATATAATTGTTTGCGTGGTATTAGTTTGTCTATTGTAACTTAGATGAAGATCAGAACACATTTTATTAACTATAGTAACCTGCGGGCGGCAGTGAGATCACAGACAAGGCTTAGCGAGCAGCAGCTGCTGTGTGCTATCAAAGTTACCAAACAAATTAATTCCTGCAGTTGGCCATTTCTCTCACAGTAGCTCTATCGTTACCTCTGGTGCTCGTTTATCAAGTGGACTTACATAGAGCATCAAAACATACACACTGGAGGGGCTTTAGTATAAAGACAAAGTTAATCCTACGTTAGCAGTCAGTAGAAAGTTACAGTTTGTGATTCTCTCCCCCCCCGGATTATTACAACCTAAAGTCCAACATTGGACTTAGTAATACTCCTCAGTAATACTATTACTGTAACTGTTAATTTACATACAGCAAAACACACACCTCAACAGAGAAGAACAGCCTTCAGCTGATCTAATGTTAGCACATCAGTAGAAAGTTACACAAAAAGCAATATGAAAAACAATCACCAGCATCCAACCTACTACTCCTGGTATTTTTTAGCTTCTCACAAGGCTTAATGGTCACACAGCTTCTGACCGTCCCTCATTTACAACAGAAAGTCCGACATCCGCCCAGCCTGTGTGACTACAATGTGAGCCACACTAGCCACACAGCATGTTAATGCCAGGCCCAGCAGGCTAACCTATACAGTAAACAGTAAAACAACATTAAACAGAGAAAAACTTACAGCTTTTAAGTCGAAGTTGGGTGACAGACAGTCAGTATCGGTCCATGATCTGGTACTCCTTTGAGAAAGCAGTTGCAGTCCTTGTGGGAACATTTCAGTCACATATAAAAAATAAATAAATAATCCCCAAAAAAGTATGTATCTTCCTCTGATGATGGAAGGAAAGACTTCTGTGCTGGTCCGTGCAGCGAACATCAGGGCAGCTGTGGCATTTAGCTCCAGGTTTTCAGGAACAGCCAGGGACAGCAGCAAAGGCAGCTCTTTTCCTTGGGAGGTTGTAAGTCAGAGTGGAGGTGGTGCTATGCAAATGAATCAGTTACTTACATAGCTGAGGTCTTCTGACATAGCCAGCCCACAAAGTGTCTGTGTGTACAAACATTAAAAAAGTGCATTTTGTATAATATGTTTAAGGGGCTTCAATTGTAACTTGGATAACTTTCCAACAACAACAAATGTTTCCAGTGTTGTGTCTTATCTTAACAGTATCTGCTTATCACCTCCTATTAACCTTTACTCATTTTAGAAAGGCTGCCACATGTTCTTTGTTTAGATTGTGAAATGGATAATGGATCATAAATATTTATTTCATTTATCACCCCAACTGGTCGAGACAGACGACCACCCACCTAGAGCCGAAGGATCTGTCCTAGGTTTCTGCCTTTTAACAGGCAGTTTTTCCTTGCCCCTGTCGCCAAGGTCTTGCTCATGGTGGTACTGTTGGGTCTCTGTAAATAATGTTATAAAGAGTTCAGTCTAGACCTGCTCTATTTGAAAAGTGTCCTGAGATAACTTCTGTTATGAATTGGCACTATACAAATAAAATTGAATTGAATTGAATTGAATTACCATCATTACGTAGTGTAGCTAGCCAGCCTTCATGTTCCCAGGATCATGCCCAGTGGGAGACTGAATTAGTGAAAGCAAGGGATTATGGGAAATCTAAACGCCCATTATATAACATAAAGAACAACAAGGTGTTTTCAGTGACTGAAATATTTTTTAAATAGTTGGCTTGAAATAAACAGAAAATTCACATGCCTCTTTCGCAGTTGTCGCCATATTAGAATTTTGTTTTGCCCTCCAGGGCTCCGTTCAATCACGTTATTGAAAACTATCAATTGAAACTTTTCATGGGCTCTCATGTCAACTGTCTCACGCAAAAACACATTTATAGCTGATAAGAGCACAAAAAGAAGACACATTATTATTAGGTTAGTATGCCTATGTAAAATCATGAATGTAATTCTGAATTACATACAATTTTCTGGGAAATGTTACTGTACGCAAGCTGTAGCGAGAGAAGTTGGGACTTATTTTTTACTAAAATGACATTTTTGTTATTAAAGAGAGAGAATAAAGCACCGAAAAAAGGTGCCGATATTGGGTAAAATATTAACTGTATCCAACCCTATCGATTGCTAAAAATCATCATTTAATCCATATAACCATATCCATTACACTTTGTTTTGCACACAACGTCAATGCTTCACTGTGATAGCTTCAAGTGATTCTTAAAAAAATCTATGTAAAAGCGTAACATAATCAAACATTTGATTGCTATTGATCTCCTATGGTTTTACCAATGGTTTAGGCTATTTTAACTGTCTTTAATCTGATACCGTAGTTAGGCCTGTCACGATAACAAATTTTGCTGGACGATAAATTGTCCCAGAAATTATTGCGATAAATGATAATATTGTCTTTCCGAGACCATTTTCATCTAATATAATGATAATGGCATAATAATGCAGGTACACCTTTTCAAAGATCAATAAACTTTTATTTCTAAACAATATGTAATACTGGAACTGGAAGACATTTTAAATATCCACAAGAAATGAACAAAACAACCAAAAACAATAAATAAAATGGACTCTCAGTCTCTGTTAACAAAAAATGCACTGGAATAAAAACCACACACAACCAAAACAATGAATAAAATGGATGTAGACAAAATTGCACTTCAAAAAATATTAAACATTAGGCTCAGACATAAAGAGTGATACATTTCTTAACAGGCAAACCTGCCAGTTAGGACCTTTGTAAACATTTAGTGCAAAAGAGATGAAGCAGATGCCTATTATCAATATTGACAACTTCGGGCTTCATATGAACTATGAACCTAGCTAGTTCCCACCTCCTCAGCACGAGCTGAACGATAAATCTAACACACCAAGAGAGGCGGGAGTTAAGGCAGAACAGCCAATCGTCAGCCGGTCACACTCAAAGCCGGTGTCATGTTTGAAGCAACAACAGGAGAGGGAGGGGGAGAGGAGGCAGCCGCAGCGAGCGCAGACACAGAGCGGCCAGAGAAACAGAGCGATAGTAAGGCGTTTGTGCAAAACTGCGGAAAAAGTGCAGAAAAAGTGTGGGTGTTGAACCCTGTCACCGGGAAAAGTGTGGGTCTCAAAACACCCACATCCACCATGGGTGCGATGCCCCTGTGGTCACCGATGCA